GCAATTCGTTTCGGTCAACAAAAAAAATGAATAAAAGTGTAAGTGGTATTTTTTTGTGTTTCTTCAGGTTGCTTAATGTAGTGTTTACCTTGTTTAGTATAATTATCGATGCATTTTGTGATGATTGTGTCTGTAGCAAAAATCAGCCAATTGTAGTTGTCGTCAATGAATTTAAGTTTTAATATTTCATTCAGTCCTGTCACTTATCTTCACACATATGTGAACTTTTTTTGAGGCAAGTGAATTGCTCAATTAAAGTACATACTTGTATTTAGCTGGTAAATTATTATTATTCATTTTATATTATTTGTCTAAGTATGAAAAGTAATATCTCAATATACCGTCGAAAAGCACCTAAATTAGATAAATCATGTAATAATAAAGCTAGTAAAAACATTAGGGGATACAATTGGAGTATGAACTCGTTCAAGTTGATTGTGTTTTTGTGAATTTTCACATTTTACTGTTTGTTCAACTTTCAAAAGATAACAGCATAATGCAACTTTTACTTAAATCATTATAATTATCTTAAATTATTGCTTGGATCAATAGTCTCTTTTTTAAATGATTATCATGCTTGTTTGAAAGTTCTCATTATTGTTTTATTCATGGACTACCTGTTGTCTACAATGACTTAGGTTGAATATGTACATATGCTCAATGCAACGATGTGTGCAACCACTCGAGTTATTTGTGCGATTCTAGAGAATTATCAAACAGAACATGGGATTATTGTACCTGATGTTCTAAAATCATTTATGCCCAAAAGTTAGTGTACTTTTTTGTTATTAATGAAAATACTTTTCAGTGGGCTATAATCCATTTTTTAAAAATTCATTCTATGCTTATGATTATACGTTATGCATGATGGTTTCATAATGTGTTTTCTTCACTGTTTGTAAGATTTAATTCGTTCAACTCAGTAACTAAACTGTCCACTTATGCACTAGGTTTTAAGTTGCATTTTCTGAGTGTTGGTGTTACCGCCAGAGTACTGGAGTCGAAGTACTCTGAAATTTTGTTTTAAATAGTTGAAAGTTGGTTACTTAAACCATTAACCCTCCACTTAGTGTTCATAGTCTTAAAACATTATCACTTCTTACTGAACATTAGTATTTTTAATAGATTATTAAATACATGGAGGTTTTCATTCATCCGAATTATTGCGATATTGTGTATGTATGAAGTGAGATGATGATGTAATTAGCCAGTTTATGCCGTTAATTTTACCAAGTTATTTCAGTCAATAATTAAATATATCATCTCTCCACCAATCATTTTACTCACATTTAATCATATATTCTCATGTGTTTGTGCATTTGAAAGTGTCTATTATTTACTTTCTTATTGCTTGTAAATGTACCCCATCAATATTTCGTGGTTCATACATATACACATATTCGTTCTTATGTATATTCTCTCCTGTTGCGTGGTTTGGTTGATTTACGCTTGGCTGTTGAGCTGTTACGTTTTCAATGAAGTAACTTCGATCTGATTTCGTATCTGCTTTCGAACGTCTCGTGGTAAAGTAAAACTAGTTATTACTTCGGGTTTTATAACCAGAGTCGTATAACACTGATTAACTAGTGGTGAGCCAACGTATGAACTTGCCACAGCCTACGACGAAACCGCCTACAAAATAATTTGTTTGTCACTAATTTGCAATTATACCTACTCACCATCAGGTTGGATCGCTATCTGTATTTAATTAGTGTATTATTACATATTTCTGTTGTAACGTGTGACTGCAGATCAGAGTGAAGCGTATTTATCGATCGATTCAATGACACGAAAAACACGTAAGGACGAGCTAGAGTCCCGATTGGCCCTGCTGTCTAGCCCAGCCAGTTGAGTCCAGAACACAAGTCTCAGCCTCTGAGTTATGAATCATTATATTTCAGACATACTCTATTTATATACCAATCAAACAAACCACATCGTATCATAAAATAGAAAACAACATTTGTACAATATTTAACAAGTGAAGTAAACATCGACCAATAGGAAATGTCCATTTAAAGTTCAAGGACACCATTAGACTTAACATGATAATTATTGGTATATTTTTCTGCACATCCTAACAATTTTGCTTCATAAATACTGTGACAATACATCAGTATTAACTATCGTAACAATCGCATGAAACCGTTACTTATTACACAATAAACATACTAGTAACCTTACTCTCATTCTCAAAGCATATATTCCCTCGTATAACAATTCTGCTCTCCTCTTTAGTCCGTCGACTTTGTCAGTTAAAGTCACGTTACGTACATGGTGGATCGTTTAATATCATCTTTCGTGTGTTCTATCGGGTATTCTTGCTAGCTTGTCATTGTCGCTGTCACTGAAATCTAGAGTCTGCTGTATAATTTGCGGCAATTCACATAACCATGATCTATCGAATAAACTATCAGCAAACTTCATTTGTGATTACTTTGCTACGATGACTTTCTGCCTCCTATTCGTACCTGGATAATTAGTTGGTCGATAACGTCTTAGATACCGCTCGTATGACTGTCCGTTTCAAGTCATCGTATGACGTTTTCATTTATAGTATGAGTACCGAATCTTGCATCCGTTCAGATGCTTCATCTGGTAAGTGTTATAACGCCCGAGTTTATTTCGTCTTTGCGAATGAAACGTCAATTTGCCTTAGACGGATATCTACACTAGATTCGCTCCCAGTGTTTATGCTACAGGAATTCAACACGACTCAGATCATGAACACGTGATTAACCTGACTAGAACGTAAATATATTTCCGCACCAAAAATCGTCAACAACCCGACACAATCCAACAACAATCAATAATAATAAGGATAGGAGAATATATAACTCATTTAACGCCTGTCAGACCATCTACAATTCTGACCAAGCAAACAACCAATCATTATCATTCTCGCCCACACATCAGTAAGTGTGGACTAGTGATAGAACTCGTCTTTTTGTCCAGTTTCACGATTGTGCATTAAATAATACTCAAGCCTAGCGAACCAAAGTTGTGATTCTGCTACTCTAAGAGTAGAAATGGTAAGGTTACTAGTACGCGCAAAACAGTATTGTAAGAACTGTAAAAGTCTAGCTACAGACTTGATAAAAGGTGGCAAGTAATGTACAGTTAATTAGGTGTGATATAAAAGAGCAGACAAATTAATCTTAGTAATAATAATGATAAATAACACAATAATATGAAATAAAACACATCCCCTGAATATGCACCAATTGATTCGAGACTTAGTAATCTAATAGCACCTGGCCTGTTGGGTAATATGTGTTGATCCAGGATCGACCTCGTTTAGAATCCCTAATGCTCACTACTGACAAGTGTTAAACTTTAGTCTGTTCACGATAAAAATTACTTTCAAATCGAAATCTTCTAAATTATGTATATTGAGTAAGCTGCTCATTATAGAACGCTATGGCATTTCCGTACTTGTTTGTGATCAGTAAATCTTACTAATGCTATTTAATACTGCATACTAATCATACAATGAATCTCATTGGGTATAGTTGATTGTCTGATAATCTAATTCATGTATTGCAATATTTCTTCTAGGTCACTGTCCGTCGGTATCGTAGTCCGAACAATCGTATTTGTCTGTATAATTCAAAGTTCAAACTTTTTTGCCAATAAGCTGCTTAAGCAATGAAACATTGACTGATAGAATGTTTTTGAGAAACTTAGAATTACGAAGTTCTAGACAGACCATTAATACAGCTTTTCACTTTTGACCAAGCAAACAACCAATCATTATCATTCTCGCCCACACATCAGTAAGTGTGGACTAGTGATAGAACTCGTCTTTTTGTCCAGTTTCACGATTGTGCATTAAATAATACTCAAGCCTAGCGAACCAAAGTTGTGATTCTGCTACTCTAAGAGTAGAAATGGTAAGGTTACTAGTACGCGCAACACAGTATTGTAAGAACTGTAAAAGTCTAGCTACAGACTTGATAAAAGGTGGCAAGTAATGTACAGTTAATTAGGTGTGATATAAAAGAGCAGACAAATTAATCTTAGTAATAATAATGATAAATAACACAATAATATGAAATAAAACACATCCCCTGAATATGCACCAATTGATTCGAGACTTAGTAATCTAATAGCACCTGGCCTGTTGGGTAATATGTGTTGATCCAGGATCGACCTCGTTTAGAATCCCTAATGCTCACTACTGACAAGTGTTAAACTTTAGTCTGTTCACGATAAAAATTACTTTCAAATCGAAATCTTCTAAATTATGTATATTGAGTAAGCTGCTCATTATAGAACGCTATGGCATTTCCGTACTTGTTTGTGATCAGTAAATCTTACTAATGCTATTTAATACTGCATACTAATCATACAATGAATCTCATTGGGTATAGTTGATTGTCTGATAATCTAATTCATGTATTGCAATATTTCTTCTAGGTCACTGTCCGTCGGTATCGTAGTCCGAACAATCGTATTTGTCTGTATAATTCAAAGTTCAAACTTTTTTGCCAATAAGCTGCTTAAGCAATGAAACATTGACTGATAGAATGTTTTTGAGAAACTTAGAATTACGAAGTTCTAGACAGACCATTAATACAGCTTTTCACTTTTGTATTTCACCCCTTGAAGCTGCAATATTCCTTATCTGGTGTCTATACATGGCTAAATGCGCTATAAAGCATATTATTCGTTTATCGTTAGCGTTGTATTTCTTTCCAGATCAGAACATCTTAGTTAATATTCTTATGCGTGCATATTGTGAATACTTCTTTTCTTTATTTAGTGTTGATTCACTGACAGTTGTAATTATTGTAAATTAATTATTTTTGTCTCATTCTTATGATATATTCGCATACTTTTTATTTAACTTATCGTATTAGAATATCAGAAATTTATACCGTTCAAAGGACATGAGGATAAAATACCTGTCAGTATTGATGATGTGCCACAGACAATTCACAATTCATCCAATACAAAATTTCACGATGAAACATCGTTCAATGAGCTAAATGAAAAAATAAGTAATTTAACTGGTGCTACAGAATCTGGTCTCGTCAGTGCTATTTCTCAAATATCTGAAGTTCAAAAACGAATTGAAGATACGTTGAATACACTAAGTTTAGTCACCACAAATAATCACGTTGAAAAAGATATCTGTGACAAAAAATGTGCTGTTGTTCATCCTGTAGAAGGTTCTGTAGAAGATAAAAATGACCTTGAAGTTGAAAATAAGGATACAATTGATAATGAGTCTGTGAGTTTGCAATCAACTACTCCAGAACCAACTGATTCTAAGAAGAAGCGGAAGAAAAAACCAAAAAAGAAACAATCGGATTAGAATTTTATTTTATTGTGGTGCTCAGTTAATATTGCATATTAATGATTTGTTGTATTGACTCACACTTGCATATGAATATAAATTTTGACTGTGGTGTTATTTAAACGTGAAAATTACATTAATAGTCGGCTCCATGGTTTGCGCATGGTATTTTCAGTCATATATGTCAGTTAGCCACGTTTATTATTGCGTTAAAGTTTTAAATTAGATTTCTGTTATCAAGATATTTATGCATATATTACTTCTGAAGTCTGGAAAAATTAGGATCCATTTTTTTACATTATAATTGAAGCACAGATTGAATTTGGATAAGGTTTTATTTCAAGTCGAAATATTAGATACTCTTAACTCAGTTTGATTCATGTCCCTGTAATAGTTGGTTTAGTATAATCCAAGGTGCTATTTGAAGAAACCTATGAATCGCAACAGTGCACGGTAGTTTTGATCTATTTCATAGTTTTGATATACTAACTAGAAATAATTTGAGGTGAATCACTTACGTCAGTTAATTTTTTTAAATTTATGAATAATCTCTGTATTTTGTATACATATTACGCTAGTGTATTGTCATTGACCTCTACGATTATAGTTTGTTGTCTGTTACTCTGTTTAAGTGTATTCACGCATTTGCTCCTGATCAATGTGAACGACATACTGAAATTTTTTAAAAGACACATCAACTTTTGTTTAAAGCTTCTGAGAAGCATTCAGCTTTTGACTTTAATGAAAACTTGATATGTGTTTATCATTGAAAAATATATTGTATATGTTTCATGAAAATGAAGTACAGATTTCCTAATTCAAATAATTATTGAAGGCCTATGTATTACACCTCATGAAATACTGTGAAATGAGTTATAAATGTTTCAATAATGACTGTTTGCATGAGATATGTTATCAAATGAATTTTTAAGATCTATCAGAATTATTTGTCACAAACGATGAACTTTATATTTGTTAATAAGTACTGATTTCTCTGAATTTTGAACTTTCTTATGGTACGTTTCGAACGTTCATTTTGAATACAAATTCGTTGATAAAACAAATAAAATAGGTTTGTAAATATTTATGTGATCAATACCGGGATATTAATCAGTTAGAGTTAACGAGTAAGATCACATTTGACTTATGATTTTTCGGATATTAGTTGTACTAACTGATTAACTAGCAGTGATTCTATATGACTTTAAAAATTTTCATGTAGAGTACAGTTCATATATGTCGCTTAATTATTAATTTAGAATACTTAAACAATTGATCTACATCGTTCTAATATTAATAAGTGGGGGTTATTCATGTAACAAACAGCCTTCCAAAAGTATTTATGTAAGTCATATACCATGGATCAATCAATTGTTCTTGACTGAACTCTATGGAATCATATTACATCTGTTTAGTAATTTATGTTGTATATGAGGACGAAAATGCGTCTAATGGCTTATGATGCGATCGAGAGTTTGTAACTTGGGATGTTTTCATCATTAGATTACACCTTTTAACAATTTTTGGTTCAGTCAACTCAATTGTATGTGTGTTTTATATACATGTGTCCCTTACAGTTCCGTTTTCTAAACTGCTGTAATAAAATACTGGTGTTACTTTGAATGTACAGGGCTTAATTATGAGTTGTTTATTACTTTTACGAATTCATATAGTTTTATCTAGATAAATCATATTCTGTAGGAGAAAAAGTCAAGATGTAAGATAATCAATGCTTTTAGTTTTACTTTAGCAACTTCCATGTTAATCAGATGAGATAGTAGTAGTTTGTCACTTTCAGAAAATTTGATTATATAGTCAAATGTAAATAAATAACATTTATTTTATGCTGTAAGTCTCAAAAATCATTTAGAATATGAAATCTATTTCGACGAGATAATTTCATGTTTAATCTTTTGAAGAGAAATGATGTTTTGCTTAATGCAACAGATTATTCATACATTTATTTCATTTATAAATGTTGCTATATTTCGGTGCATAAACTGAACATTAACATTTATAAATCGGTGGTTTGTTTAGACGTATTATTTTTGATGATGCTATTTCATTCTTTATTGTTTTGGTTATCGTTAAGTGAATGCCAAGAAATCTATCAGTATAATCAGTAAAAATGTAATCACAAAGTGTAGTGTATAACGTTTAGTTCCTATGAATTAATCACAGCTTTTTTTAGTAATGAGTGTAAATGGCCTCACCACCACCGCTATAAATGTCAACAGGGACATTGTTTACACGCAAAACCTTTCTTCTGAAATAAAAGGTTATTAGAGAAGTTGATCTTCCTTCATATTATTCAGAAAAATAGCATTTTAATTGTAGAACATTGCCTACAGTGATTTTCTTCTAACACTTGAACTAATTCGTATGTTTTATTTTATGTTTTATTATTTCATTTAGGCTATTCTAAATGATTTTAATACGATATTTGTATTCGAATACCAAATTAAGTTTGTAATTAAATAACCTATTTAACTGAATTAGACATAACCACCTGATCAAATTATTGGATATTTCTAATAACAGCATGATAGTGATTTTTCGACTGAAATTTGTTGTGCCCCAACGAGAGCTAGTCTGTGCTGGGTACATCCTAAATTTGGTTAGAATTCATTGTTCGTATATCTTCACCGCCTTGAGTAATCGCAGAAGTCAGTCAGTTAGTAACAACGTAGAACTTCGTACGTACGTACATCAGTTCGAGTTGCCACACCACATTAGCACAGAGATGATGCAGTTGTCGATTCAAATCATGTAGTGGTAGAGGTAGTAAGAGTATAAGCAGTAATCGGAAACATTAGGGTTTGAAGATGCTATTCAAGGAGTATAATCCAGTGAAATAAATTTGGAAAGAGGAAAAAAGGGAAGTGAAGAATTCAGAAGATTAGAATTTGGGAGAACACAAAGAGTGGATGCACCTGCGCCATCACAAACCATAGAACTTCAACCCCTGGAAATTTAGATGAGGAAAGTGTTATCTCTAAAAGTACGTCAGTGACAAAGTTAATCAGGAATGGAGAGAGTGAACAGCCCTGACGAACACCACTTGAGGTAATCAATTCTGATGACAGTTCGCCATAAGCTCTCGCTCGACCAGTTGTGTTCTAGTAGAGAGTCTTTACAAAGTTAATGTACTTCTTTCAGTGGCAAATACTCCCACAGAACCCCACGATCAACAGAGTCAAATGCCGCCTTAAGGTCGAGAAATACTACGACTGTGGGGCGTCTGAATGTGTGTCTGTGTTCTAGAACCTGACGTAGTGTGAATATCTGATCTATACAACCATATCCAGGTCGAAAACCGGCCTGGTTTTCTCTAGTCTGCTCTTCACGAGCTTTGATTAGGCGTCGAAGTATTATTGAGGCTAATATTTTAGATACTATATTAGTCAAACTGATTCCTCTGTGATTATCACAAGAGGACTTTTGTCCCTTCTTATAGACTGGCACAATCAGTGATTGAGACCAGTCAGATGGGATTACGTCCAGTTCCCAAATTCTACCTAAGACCTCGGTTAATCTCATTGCTAATACTGGACCACCATCCTTAAAAATCTCAGGAGTAAACCTGTCAGGGCCTGCTGCTCTCCCTCGCTTCAGATTTCCTATGGCTTTTTCAACTTCGTAAAGGGACGGAGGACTTACATTAACTTGCCATTCAGGTTGACTGGAGATCGTGGGAAACCGAAGTGTGGCTGAAGGCCAGTTGAACTGATCCCTAAAGTGTTCTGCCCATCGATCCAATCTCCTGGATTGAGAATGAATAATATGTCCATCTTTCTCTGAGATTGTTTCGCTAACGGTCGGGTTCCTAATTCCGGTTTCCTTAACGAGTCTAAACAATTGTCTGCTATTACCTATTGCCGCTGCCTTTTCCATCTCTCTTGCTTTCGCTACCCACCACTGTTCGCGATCATTGCGTAGACTTCTTGTCAGCTTGCGCTTAAGCTGACTCCGCTCCTCATTATGTTCAGAGCCAGGTGGAATGTGTTTCCGAGCATTTATCAGTGAGATAGATGCTGCTGAGATCCAGTGTTGCTCCCTAACCTTGTGGTTTACCTTACTAGCAGATATCACTGCTGTTTCCACAGCTTTTCTGATATCATTCCATGCTGCCTCGGGGTGGACATCACATACATGGCTGCCTAACTTTTTATAGTTGTTCCTGAACATACTCTTAGCTTGACTATCATTAAACAGGGCCCTAAGAGGTTTTCTCGCAGCGTCTTTCCTACGTCCAGTAAGACGCAGGCAGATACGCGCTCGTACTAGAGCATGATCTGAATCTAAGCATGTGCTCCAGAATGAGCGACAGTCTTCTATCGAGCCCCTCCATCGGTGGCTGATAGCGATGTGATCTATTTGGGTCCAACGTTGGGACGAATTAGGGGGTCACCATGTTAAAAGATGTTTTTCCTTATGCTTAAAGTTAGTATTTGCAAGGAACAGGCGGTTATCTGAGCATAGCTGCAACAGACGGTCGCCATTATCTGTTCTTTGAGCCACGATGCTATAAGATCCACCCAGGTGTTTTTCCTTATCGCTTAGTTTACCTACTTGAGAATTACAGTCACCAGTCATTGTTAGTTTATCAGAGCGCCTGTCTTTTCGGAGAAGGTCGGAAAGCTTTCTGTGAAACTCATCTTTTACATCATCTGCGCTGCAGTCAGTGGGAGAGGCAACGACGAGTGTCCCTATCTTTTCGGATCCTTACTGTTCCGTTTAGTCGGACAGCGCACAAACGACTGTCTACTGGGATCCACTCTAAGAGAGCTAGTTCTGCCCTATGTCTCAATGCTATACCTACGCCGGCGAGTCCACGAGAAGCAGCATTTGGGCTTTCAGATACACGAAGTGTGAATCGAGTTGGTTCTTTGTCTTGACATGGTGATGTCAAGTGAATGACGCTACTTGGATCCTGTATGCGTGTTTCGGAGACGCAGCACACATTGATGGCGCGAGATTCTAAAGTTTTAGCTAAGGAAGCCTGTTGTCGTATTTGGCACAGTGTTCGGACGTTTTAAGCTCCAACATGAAGTTTGTAGCGTGGTTTCAGGAGACCAGGAATAACGTTCCGCGTACTCGTATCGTTTGCCCTAGCGATGCGAGGTGATAAAGAGACGTGAGAAGAGTTATTCGTGGAGATAAGATATTTATTTGGAGGTGTAGGAAGGATTTGAGTGTGACTGACTTGGTGTCGTGTGTTTTTACGGGTATGAGGGCATATGTCACTTCCCGTCTGCCCACACCGTGGAAGGGTATTTCTTGAGGAACCTGACAGGGAAGTTGGATTAATGTTGGCCTTAACGATCTGGGAGCGTGACTGCAGAGCCCAGGGGATAACTGCTTGAGGCCGGTCGCGCACGGCCTTTTTGTGGAAGGTTTTTGACGTGTTAGCTCCGTTCTTCAAAGGGTGTGTGACATTTTTAGGGTCAATCATTTCTAACCACTTCCTTCCTTGTGAGAAGGCAGTATCGCTGCAGATGTTTGAGGGAAACACCTTACTGCTGTCATACCCCTCTACAGTCAGCAGTACGACTTCGCCGTCAGACCTTGAGTTGCTGTTTTTAGTCTTACCGTTCTCCAGTCGACCTGCCTGGCATGGTAGAACCTACAGGAACATATGTTCCAACCAATATAGCTCGGTTGGGTCATCACGATAGGCAAGCCCGACCACCGCGTCAAGGTAGCAGCTATGGTCGGGATAATCGCAGAAGGACATCTTCAAAGCCATTATCAAAAAACCCATCAGTTACTTAGTATTTCTTCCTGTTTCTACACCAGTTTAGAATTTTTTCAATTCCTTTCAGGTTTTAGTTGAATTTTTTTTATTGCAAATTTCTGGGATTGAGTCCCCGAATATTTTGAAAACAGACTGATAGAATTGACTGAAATCTCTAAAAATTCCCATAGCTCAACTTGCATATGCACAAAAGCCACATAACCTATAGCTATTGCGTACAATAATCAGTAAGTGACGAATGACCTATGTCGTTTCATCCAATATTTAGCCCTGATCAATTTCAACATTCGACTCTGGGTCGCGAGGGG